AAAGAATTCTGAATGATTTTAAAGGAATTCTGAATGGCTGAGGAATTCTAGCTCACTAAGAGATTTTAAATTGCTTTTAAGGAATTCTGAATGGCTTTTAAGGAATTCTACTTTTAAGGAGTTTTTGAATGGCTTTTAAGGAATTCTAAATGGCTGAGGAATTCTACTTTTAAGAAATTATAAATGTCTTTTAGGGAATTATGAGTGGCTTTTAAGGAATTCTAAATGGCTCAGGAATTCTACTGTAAAGGAATTTTTGAATGACTTTTAAGGAATTCTAAATAGCTTTAAGGAATTCTAAATGACTTTCAAGGAATTAGAAGTGACTTTTAGGAATTCTGAATGATTTTAAAGGAATTCTAAGTGTCTTTTAAGGAATTCTAGATGGCTCAGGGATTTTAGATGGCTTTTCAGGAATTCTGAATGACTTTTAAGGAAATCTAAATGACTTTTAAGGAATTTAAACAGCTGAGGAATTCTTTAGTGGCTTTTAAAGGAATTCTGAATAACTTTTAAGGAATTCTGAGTAACTTTTAAGGAATTCTAAATTATTTTTAAGGAATTCTGAGTGACTTTTAAGGAATTTTGAATGGCTCAGGCTGCATTTTTCCAGCTGGAAAGAGTCAATGAAAAGATTTCACCCTGTGCTGGTTTTTCTCTTGGGGGAATTAATTAATCCTGATCATCTTTGCTTTTTGGGGGGGTTTTGGGGTTTGTTTTTGGCAGGCAAAAGGCGAAAATCTTCTCCCAAACCTCTTGTTCTGAGTGAAGCTAAAAAGCAGTTGCTGATCTACAGACTACCTCAGGTCCTCCGGCTGCACCTTAAACGCTTCAGGTGAGGAAATTTTTGGGGAAAAAATATCCAAAAATTTGCCTTTAAATACGCTCAGTTCTTGCTAAAATCAGCTGTGTAACTTCTGAGCCGTCACATTTGTGAAACCCCCTTGTGTTGCCTCTTTGCAGGGCTTTTTTTTTTTAAACAATTTAATATTTTGTGCATTTAATTCTTAATTTTTTTTGGGTTTTAATCGAGTTTGCAGGCAGCTTGGAAGGAGAGGTCAGGAAGCTGAGTGGAAGGTGGGAGATGGAGAGAATTCAATGCCAATATTGGTGTTTACCTGGGGAAAAAAG